CTATATAATTTAATTGCTTTGCTTTATTTATTCTAAGGAAAAGAGTCATAGGTCTAGTGCATTCTAGAGAAGAAGAAAGGATGGACCAGAGCATATTTAGTATTCAATACACTGAAAAATACTATATATCTTAACAAGAAATGGCTAAATAGATACCCAGTTACTTGTAATTGTACTGTGCTCTGTGATAACTTTCTTAATCATGAAATATTTTGCTTTGGAAATCTCAAATTGCATTCACATAATTGTTATATCTGTTTGAGACATCAAATTATATGCATTGCTCACTTTCATATTTTAAATTTTGCTTTTATTTATAAAAATATAACCTGTGAATTCATTAAAATTGAAGGGGTTTTTTAAGCCAAGCACTGACATTTGTATGGGTTAAATCCAGAGTTTGGTTTCACAAATGGGAAAAAAATTGTGAGCAAATTTCACTAAGGACAAAAAAAAAAAAAAAGGGTAATCTCATCTATCACAATATGTAGCCCTATCTCTCATACTTCACAAAGATCTCTCAACACTTCCTTGTCCCCCATAGCAGATTGATGGGGGCTTTTGATGCAGCAGAGAGGAGGAATCTGTAAAAATCATTTCCCCTCTTCTCCCAGCAGTCAGAGGGAGTCCTTCCATTTATGAAAAGCAAGATCTAAATCCAAAACCATGTTAATAAATAGGTGGCATTGACATAAAAACTGAACCTTTCACTCTGGTTACCTGTGCTGTCTCTGCAGATAGCAACAGGTGTGACAAGCAGCCAGCCTATAAAGTTGGTCCAGGTACCGCAGACCACTACCTATATACCAACTACTCAACCCACAATTGTAAGTACTGCTTTTGGCATTGAAACAGCTCATTTATTTTGGAGGGAGGATGGGCTTTCTCCTGTGTTACCACAATATGAATTCACTGGTCTTAACTCAATTTGCTGTGCAAAATGCTTTATTTTGCTATACATTTCCATTTCTTTTACACCATACATTGTCATACAGGACAATCAAAGATTCAAGTTTTATTTATTGATTTAAAATTCTATATTGCTATCATGGTTTCTGAAGCAGTTTAGGAAAAGCTATGCTATTCTTCAGCTGCTGTGTTTTGTGTAAAAATGATTGCACATTCAAACAATTCTTCCTTTGTAAAAAAAAACCACTTTTTTATTTCAAAATTGCATTAACCTTAGGAATTGTCTTGTGCTCTAATTAATTGCTTGGTTAAGAAGTGTTAGGGGCCAGTAATGGGCAATGGACTTGGTGGTAAGGGTTTTGTCAAGAGGGCTAGTATTTTGATGGTGGTAGGGAATAAGAAGGTAGAAGTTGAAAATCAATGTTATTAGATAGAAAGTGAAATTAGCAATTAGTCTCATTTGCTAGCTAACCTGGCAACTTAGTTGTCACATGACTGGAGCGTGTGCACACACATGTGCCTGCCACTCACACACACACATCCCTAGGCTGGGCCACCAAGCTGGAAAGGTTGGGGACTTCTGAGTTAGACGGAGAGGAAATGTGGTTGTGTAGAACAACCACCTCATAGCTAATTCACTGATTTGTTTATATACTTTCTCAATCACTTAAGCAAGTCTAAGTGGCTTATATAATTCTAGGTCAGCGGTTCTCAACCTATGGGTCGCAACCCCATTTGGGGTCGATCGACCATTTCACGGGGGTTGTCAAGCAAGGCTGTCCGCCATTTTTCCCCCCTTTTCCGGCGGGTGCCTTACCTCCCTTGAGCTGGGCCAGCTGGTGGTTGGCCTGCTCCGTCTCTGCCGCTTGCCAGTTACGCCTCGGCCGGCGCAGGGGGCGGAACCACGCATGCACGGCGCTCCCGGGCAGGGAAAGTCCTCGACTTACGACCGGTTGGGTAGTCCTCGACTTACGACCGGTTTAGTCCTCGACCTACGACCGGTTGGGGGTCACGGCATTAAAAAGGTTGAGAACCACTGTTCTAGGTGCTAGGAGACCTCCACATCAATTTCAGCCTGGGCTATCTGGTATGACTCAGGAATTCACAGCAGCTATGACATTTATGACTTTGGATCTTAGGGGCAAAGTAGAATGCTGGTCACACTCAGTTGGTCTTTTATTCAGCTGAAAGAATGGTTCATGGGTGAATTCCCATATCATGCCCCATTGTCATGAATGAACTTGCAGTCACTGTCCATCTGTGTAGAGGTGGAGGACAAAGTCAGCTTGCATTTCTAAACAGTTTTTTGGATCTACTGGTTTTTCCAAGGAGTCATAACAGTGTTTTAAAATAGGATTCTGCAGGCAATTCAGATAATGCCTGACTGGGTTCTAGAAATGGGAATTTACTAGAGTGGTAGACAAAACTGCATGAGTACCATCTTCCCTTTTTAAAGTCCCCTCATAATATGTAGCTCATGGAAGAGCATGGTGGAATGAAGGAGAAAGTAAGATGGCTAGAACACTAATGATAGACAATTCGTTATAACACCAGTAAGGCACAACATAGAGGTCATTTGAGAGTCTGTGCTGTGGCAGTTTATTCAGAAGAAAGTGATACTTCGTTGCATACATCGTATCTAAATATTCTTGCATAGTTGTTTAAAGTTGTGGGACAATTAACATTAATTAATGAATGTTAATTAACACCAATTAATTAACCCTCAGTCTCTGAATTTGGAATTGGAACTTTCCATGGCTTTCTGTGATACATTGGGTGTCAGTTAATTTCTAGGTATAGTACAAAGTATTACATATTATTTGAACGCCTTATATGGATTGGTCCTAGGTCCCATTACGGAATGCTTCCTCCTACAAGAGTCCCACCATCCACTAAGATCATCTGTGCTTCCCACTAACCACTAAAATTGTGCATTGAATTTTACCATTGATTAATTTCATAAATATTCTGAATACTTTAAATTGCTAATAGTTTTTTTGTATATCCAAGAAATTTGGTCAATCAGTGGTTTAAAAAGTAGATAGATGGAGACATAGACAGACAGACATAATAGAATATTTGGAAATGTCCTTATTGACACGGGCAATGATGCTCTTAGTTTAAGATTAGGCCAAGGTTACAATTTGGTTTGTGTTCCATCTAGTATTCAGGTAGTGTTGGAAAGTGTCAGAGTTGTATGATGTAGGCTGTTTTGCATTTTGATGACCTTGATGGTAAGGACAAAACAGGTGTTTTAAGACTCAGAAACCCCCAGACCTCCGGAAATAAAAAATATTTTAGCTCTATCAGAGAACAAATATGCTATCAGATTCCACATTCATCCAAGAGGTTGCCTATCATTGAATTATGCCTTTGTTCCATAATAAGCATGAACTGCATTTAATTTTTTAGCCGGTGCTTCTCTATTCCCAAAATCTTTTCATGCTCAATAAAGGAATCCAGAGAAATAATGAAATCTCTCAGGAACTATGGGAGTGGGTGATGGCTGACGATTGGAAATATCCTGTACTAAGAACTTGAAATTTGACCTGCTTTATGCTATGATTGGAAAATGATAATATGCAGCATTCTTCAACTAAAGTCTGTGTTTGTTCTATAGGTAGACCTAATTTACCAACCACAATTGCAACTGACAATTCTATTACTAAACAGCACAGTCATTGTGTAATGTCCTATATGACCATGCCAACATATGGTCATTAAGTGCAATATCATATGATCGTAACTTGCAGTTTCCTGGCGGTTCCTCCATTGACTTTGCTTGTCAGAAGCTAACTGTGAAAGTTGTAACAGTGACTGTTCAAACTTAACAATGTGCTGAACAAGTGGTAGTTATGACTGGTCTTTGGAGTTGTGGCCATTGCAGCATCCCCTCAGTCACATGGTCATGATCCAGGCACCCAGCTCACAGTTATGACATCACAATGAACTATGGTCAATCTGCTTGCTTCCCACAAGCAAAGTCAAAAAGGAAGTCACTAGAAAGTCAGAGGTTGCAGTCCTTGCTTAATGACCTGTGTGGTCTCACTTAATGTCAGCAATTGTGATTGCAGGAAAAGTGATACAGTTATGTGCTGTCATGCTTTACGATTGCATCTCTGAGCGACAGTAATTCCAATTCCCATTGCTGTCATAATCCGAAGACTATCTATGTCCATATAAGGAAAGTTTTTTATTTATTTTATATTTATTTTATAATTTGATTTGTACCCCGCCCTTCTCCTCACCGGACGTACCAGGGAAGCAGTGTGACAGCTTCCACCTTTTGCTATTTCTTTAGTGACCAAAGATTCTCTATGGAAGGAACAGGAGTGCAGGTGTGATTATAGACAAAAACTGTACTTTCTTGTAAATAAAATAATTTGATAGAGAGACCTTGGCTGATATCAACATGTATCTCACTGGTAGCTCCAAATGTACAGCATATACATTTACTCTTATGTATGTCATCATAATGTTGATATTCATATGCTCCATGGCCTGCCCAAATTCATGAATTCTTTTTCTGTACATACTAAAAATATTTTATTTTATTAGTTGATTTTAGTTGTATACTCCTAGAATTATGGAATGCACATTGAGTTTGCTAATAAATTTAACAGGTGGGCTCATCTCCATTGTACTTCTCAGAATGAAGAAAAGAATTTTATTTATAATATATATAAGGAAACTCTACTCTTCTGATTCAGTTCTACCAGCAGCAAGAATAGAGAACAGTAAAGATATGTAAATATTTCAGATTCAGACTTTAAAATGGGCTGATCCACATTTAGTTAAAATGAAACATTTTTATTATAGTCAGAACAGTCCAACAGTTTCAACTTCAAAACTTCAAGCTAGAAAAGTTTTGGTTTTGAAATATTTTACACTCTTCTAAAACACATCTTTGTCTGAGAGGTGCTGAAGAATAAAAAATAGTTCTAATAGTGTGTGTATGTGTGCATGCGTACATATATGCGCACACACACATATACAGTGCATTCAGAAAGTATTCAGACCCCCCCTTCACTTTTGTCAATTTTGTTATGCTGCAGCCTGATTCTACAGTTGAAATTCATTTTTTCATTAATCTACACTCAGTACCCGTTAAGGACAAAGTGAAAGCAGAATTTTAGAAATGTCTGTAAATTAAAAAGAAAAAAACTTGAAATATCACATTGGCATAAATATTCAGACCTTTCACTCAGAACTTTGTTGAAGCACCTTTGGTAGCAATTATAGCCTAGAGTCTTTTTGGGGTATGACGCAACAAGCTTTGTACCCCTAGATTGAGGGATTTTCTGCCATTGTTCCTTGAAAATCTTCTCAAGCTCAGGCATGTTGGATGGTGACCATTGGAGGACAACCATTTTCAGGTCCCTCCAGAGATATTCAATAGGGTTCAAATCAGGGCTCTGGCTGGGCCACTCTAGGGCAGGGCTTTTCAACCTCTTCACCCATTGTACCACTTTTAGGATATGGCAATATCCGAGTACCACCAGTTGCCTAGCAAGGTGTCAAAAAAAAAAAGGAAAAAACTGATGAAGTACAGATAGTCCTCGACTTATAACAGTTCGCTTAGTGACTGTTCGAAGTTACAATGGCACTGAAAAAAGTGCCCCCCAAGCCACAGCCAAGCAAGACACCTGCCTGCCCACCCGGCGGCGCTCTTCCTCCTGTCCGAGGTTTTCATTGTTGTGAGCATTTCTGTCGAGGATTGGCAGCGGGGGTGGGGTGGGGGGTGTTTGGTTTTTATTCCCCCCCGTCTGCTGGGTGGTTGCAGCAGGTTTTGGTCACTTCACATGACCCTGGGACACTGTGACCATCATAAATATGAATCAGTTGCCAAACATCTGAATGTAAATCACAAGACCCTGGAGATGTTGCAACATTCCAGCTGATCGGCGCTTCTGGGCTCAGCAGAAGCCCCAGGATCAGCGCCGAGCTCCAGCTGGAGCCTGGCGCTGATCCTGGTGCTTCCACTGAGCCCTGACAGTCCCGAAGAAGTGCTGATCCTGGCGCTTCCGCCGAGCCCTGACAACCCTGCAGCTCCAGTCATCTCTTGCTCAGGCTTGTGCGGTGCTGCCACCGGTTCAGCTCATTCCCCTCCCCTGCTACCACTTTTCTAGGGTGGTCGCGTACCACCTGCCAGGTGCCAATGTACCGCAGGTGGTACCCGTACCACTGGTTGAAAAGCCTTGCTCTAGGGCAGACATGTCCAAAGTCCGGCCCGTGGGCCATTTGCGGCCCGCGGCCCGGTTTAATCCGGCCCTCGAGCAGCCCTCCCTGCTCTATATAAATGCGGCCCTCCCACGGCCCTCCGGCAAGTCCCATGAAAGAGAGAGAGAGAGAGAGAGAGAGAGAGACAGAGGCACTTGCACTTCTGTCTCTCTCTCTCTCTCTCTCTCTCATGGGACTTGCCCCCTCGCAGGGCTCCTCATTGGCCCTGCGCCCTGTTACCCCGCCCCCAGCCGCAAGCCACCATCCGCCCTGTGGTTATAAGTGTCCCAGCAGTTGGGACCCGCCCCTCCCGGAAGT